ATACTTCACCAGGAATTCTTTCTTTCCAAAAGGAAAATTTTTCTGACTAGGTTAGGTGAAGTAATGACCGATGAGCAAATTATCCATAATATAAAACCTGTTCGTTCATTTGTGGGGCATTATAAAGCTTCTGAAGTGACCCTGAAATGTTCAGTGGTGCTTGTGGTGGTGGGCCGGTTTTGCCCTCTTGTCTTCTTGACCCGCACATGCAGTTTGAAGAGGCAAGTCTAACATATAGATGCTTGCCTTCCTATATGCCTGTGCATGGGACGGTGTGCGCTGACAGGCGTGTCAGCAAGAGGAGGAGTAAGACAGGCAACCATCTGTACCGCCTGCAGCGTGGTGTTCGTTCAGCCTACGTAGCTTCTGTACACAAATCTGAAAGGGAAATGACAGTGGAGGGATGGAAGACAAAATGCAAAAGGAACAAGAAGAAACGGAAGCCGAAGAGAAAGGCTATTGCTCCTGTGAAGGCAGATCCCTTAAGCACAGGAATGTTTACACAAGCATTGTATTTAGACAGCCACTAACTGCATATGGAAGAATCCAGCCACCTGCGTGACACCGAGGATTAGCCAAGGACTTCAGCTGTTGAAGCCACCAGATGTGCACTTCTGGGGTGTGCTGATTCTCTAGAATAGGCGAGGTACCTAACTGCTGTCTCAGTAAAACCGTATGTAATTTTACAGTGCCACAAACCCCCAGACTAACAATCACAGCTCCACAAGCAGCAGAAGTAACAAAGTCAGGCTGCCGAGAGACCAGATTCCCAGATCCCTGTTCTTTCCCACCGAAACGATGCACACACCATCCCATCTCATCCCCAGCAATGCTGCCAGACCCTCACATAAACCCCGCCACCAGAAGGCACCAAATGCTTCCAGCTCTTTTACAGCCATCTTCGACATTTTTCCTTCCTCCTCCCACCCCCAGCACGCTCTGCCCCCTCTCGTGTCCCTGAGCTGGCAGGGGGAAAGGGAAAGCCTGTCTTTATCAGGCAGCCAGCCAAGCAGAACAGATAAATTGTGAGCTCATGTCGCAGCCCCGAAATTTGGCTGAAATTCACTGCGAAATTTAAGAACACTGGGACGGAAAAGAAGGAGAGGAATGACAGAAAACCTAATCCTAGAAACCTCACCTCTACAAGAAACAAGGTGAAGATAAGCACAGGCCGGATCCCCTGACTAGTGGAAATACACCTGGCGACAGGAGGGCTCTGTAAGGAGTTCTTGCATCAAACTTCTTAGTTATCATCACAGGTTGGGTTTCCTTTCCCATCCTTCTCCCGGTACGTTTCAGTTCCAGCTTTGCCACTCGGTCACAGCATCACTGTGCCATTTGCTTCAGAGCCCGGATTTTCCCTTTTATAACATGTAGGTTACTACACCCCCAGAAAGTAATGGCATTTCAGAGGATACATTAATGAAAGGTTTAGCAGCTGAATTACGTCACAACCTAAACCCTTGTGACTGTTAGCATTTTAATGCTCTGCAAGTACCACAAAGGGGGCCCTGGAGTTCATGCTTGGTGTTGTACAGAGCACGCAGATGGGTAGTTAAAAGAAAAGCTGAGGCAGAATAGGTTGTTTCAGAGCGGCTACAGTCAGCAAACTTTCTTTAAGCTGGTAAGGTTTCTAAGTAGATCAGGTACAAACAAATATTCTCTCGTCTTTGCTGCACAGTGGTTAATCAGCATCAGTCCCAAAGAGTAGGTTTACCCAACACCTCAGCCTGGTACTGCGCTGATAAACTCCTCGTCAGATTATTTTGACAAGCTGGACCTATCAGTGCTCCTCTAAGAGCTGCAGGCTCTGCTAAAAACAACCGCCTTTGATTTCCATACTTTGCAGCAGTAGCTGCTTTAATTATAAACCTGAATTGTAGTAAGGGCCTGACCTCCTGACTTAGCTGTAACAGTTGAAAATATTTACCTTACATGGGCAAAAAAACCACAGGGCAGGAGGGAAGGAAAAAAAAAAAAGAGGAAGACATAGGCATAATATAGCTGAGACATAACCACAAGAGTGACAGCAGAAGTGAGTATTTAAGCCCCACCATTTTCATGTTAGATTCTTCAGAAATAACGCAGATTCTATCTCAGGAAAACTCTGAAGAAACAAATTGGGACACAAGATCAGATTGATTGTTTTAATTTTTGTTATAGGCTAGTGGCCAAAGACATCTCAGGAGAAGGAAAATCATTTTAACAGTTAGTGACTCTTAACTCAGCAGAAAACAGAAGTCTCAACTTGTCTTAAAAATTAAAGTGAACACACATCTCAAACCACATAATCATACATGGTTTCATACTGTGGGATTTAGCAGTCTACTGCATATCTTTTTAAGAAGAAAAGCTTCCAAGAGTGAGTAGATGCAGCAGTCTGAAAGCGTCTTGGAGTATTCAAGACATACAAATTGCCTCTTTTTGTCTCAGAAAGGATCTGGATTTGCTTTTCCTGTTGAAAGTCACCTACACTAAAAATGCAGAATCATGAGAAAGGTAGCACGAAATATATCAATTCCGCTAGAGGAATAAGCATCAGTTTCTGATAACGCGCTGCCTCTTCCCTGCCTCTCTTTAGCTGAGAAACTTCTGTTCTGGTTGTTCCAAAATTGTGTTCTTACAGGAGGAGACACATTCACCCGCCAGGCTTGCTAACCGACACCAGAAGTAGAAGACAGGAGTAGAAAATAGGGTACGACTGCATGTCTGTGTTCTATTCTGGACCTGTAAAACAAACCCAAAACTCTACAGAAAATTATATTGCTAGAAATTCCTTGCACTTGAACTACTTATGTTTTGTGTCCAAAGCATGAGGACCGTTTGACATTTTAAAGGTACTGCTCGTGCTGGCTGACTGTAGCATCTCTAAGCAAGTCTACCTCAAGTACAGTTATTTAGTTGCTATTTATTATACTTAATGGGTTTATTACGGTCCGCAATGCTTTCACCCTACAGAGAGGAAGCCACAATATTGCAGCTAAACTTACATAGCTTGGTCATCTTCATTTCCTTCTTGAATTTGGAAAGTAGCCAAAGCAGTAAAAATCAGTAAGAAACCCTCATCCCCACAGGTACCAGAGGAAGTCTTGGTGCACTAACTGCTACAGGCCATAAATTACCTGAGACTCCTTGATGAGTAGAAGTTCAGCCACGTGAAAGTGATTCTAAGAGGTAAGAACTATCAACAAGCTCATGTGCTCAGCGCTCCTTCATACGAACAAGCTTTTTGAGTCATCGTCATCTCTTGTGTGTGGCAGATATGTGCTCTCAAACGCAGATGTGCCAAAGAGCTTCTGTCACCTTTTGGGTGGTGCAGAACAGACTTACAGGGGGGAAAAAAAAAAAAAAAAAAAGACATTTAGCCAAAAAAAAAAAATCACTTGAGAGATATTTGACAAAGAACAGAAAAAGCTCTTTCTTTAGTGTTTCAGCACACAAAATCCAAGAGTAAGAACAACCACCCAAGCTACATGTGTATCAGTACTTGGGTTTGGCTCCATCGCGTAGCTTTAGTGGATAGCAGTCGGTTCACGGGGCAAAAGCCGGGCCTGGTAAGCAACACTGCATTCAGCTCAGTACTACCTACTTGCATTAAAGCTTTGCCCAGTTAGCAGCTGGTAAGCTGTTACTCAGTTACTAACACATTTTATGTTAAAGATTGGATAGATTTGGAATAAAATCTTTCGAAACGCAGAAAAGGAAACGCCTCCATTTCAACAATGTTGTAGGCACAGTGACATTTTGCTGTGTGCCAGGCATCACGTACATTTTCCTTTAGGCAACAGATAACTTGCTACGCTACCTCTGTAAGAGGAAAATCTTCCGCTTGGTATCTTCCCAATAACTTTGCTGTCTTCATAGACATGGGATGACAATAGCTGGGGGCACACCTGAAATCCTTGGATTTTAACATGCACTGAGCTGCTTTTTAATTGAAAAGGTCACAGGAGACAGACTTCTGAGCATATCTCCAGCTAAATGTCACCTTTTCAGCGATACTCTCATCAGAGGTTCCATAAAAGACAGACAGACAGACACTTTCCCGAGATATGTGCATCTACCTTGCAGCAGGCCCACCTGCCTTGTGAAGGTAAAGCTTATATCCTCCAGTTGTACAGCAGAAACGCCGTCTCGCAATCCATAGCTGTGGGAGGTACGAAACCGGTCTGTACTCTCCACCCCGCTTTTTGTAGCCACGCAGCGATCAGAGCTAGGAACCAGAAGCTGATAAAAAGTGAGGTTCTTGTGAAATTTCACCAAACAAAAATGAGATATTCTGAAGTGTATTATTTTGGTTGGCTATTTTTTAAGTCTGAAATTGAAAAACGTACCTAAACCCAAAGACGTGCAGCATCTTCTATTGAATTTGAATGGCAAATTGAATTTGGTCTGTCACATCCCAGATTAGCATCCTAAATCCTGGTGCACTGTGGTGCAAATGGATGGATGGGTGCTCTTTGCTCCCTCTCTATGAAGTAATAATGTTGAACAGAGAAGTTTTTTCAGTGTCAAATACTGTATATTCACTGGAACAGATTTAGCTCTGATGAACTCGTATTTTCCAACAGCAAACAAAATTTTGTCATTAAACTTACAAGCAGCTCTAGCAACACAATAACGAACAACCTAAAACCAGGTCTCTGCCTTTCTACTCACATCCTCACTGTTTTCACTGGTTTCCATTAATGGATTCTCCATCTTTCGTATTTCATTGTCATGATGAGGGAAAATTCATTCTATTCCACATCGTCCCCTGTTATTTCCACTCCAGAATCTTCAAAGTGTTTAAACTTAAATCCCTGGAACTTTCTGCTCTTAGTACTGCTCCCAGTTAAGCAAAAGAAGAGTAAGAACCAGTCTCAGGACTTTGTGATAATTATTCCCTATAACCGCCAACCATTCTTAGTTTGTCTTTCATAGAAGTAACCAAGTGATTTACTGTCCAGAAAGGAAATTTACAAGGAAATTTACAAGGAAAAAAAGGAAACACAACAAATATTTTTAGAATTTTATTAGCTTTAACAAAACCTGTGGTCAGTTGTTCAGAGAGGGTTCAGATACATATTTAAATGCCAACTGAGAATATGTAACAAACTATGTACAACTGTGTCAGCCATCAACTGCTGAACACTAATCAATGTAATCAAAATCTTCTGGGATTCCAAAACTTTTGTCAATTCTGCTTTCTTCAAATCCAAATTTACGTTTGGCCCAGGACTTTATTGAAAAGATGTTATCTGTAAACAGAATGAAAAACATTCAGTTTCTAATGTTTAGGAAAGCATGAATTACAGTCTTGGCCACAACAAAATCCTTCCATTTGCACTCTCCCTGTGTATGTGAAAGAGGTACTTAGTGGGGAACATCATTACTAAGTAGATATAGAACAGAAAATGGGAGGCTTTTGTTAATGACATATTTTTACTCAGTACTAAGTAAAATATGTCTTCTTTTTTGGAGGTTACCTTGATCTTTTCTTGCTCCTCTTCTATGAGAAGACTGAAAGCTACAATTACAGTGTAAGCTTGAGGAAAGTGTGAATAAGCATAATAAGTACTTTATAGGTCCTTTTTCAATGGGACATCTACTGTGTGACTGTCTATAACTGTGAAAATAAGATTCAAATTAACCATAAGGTCCTTTCTAGTCCTGCATATGTTTGTTCAGATAACATAAATCTTATTTGAAAGTAAACAAAAGAAAGAAAAAGGAGAGATTCAAGTAGCTTTATTTTAGTCGGCATTTCTCTTTCATAATCACATTACTATTATTTTAGCATATACAATCTCTTCAATTTAACAAAATTTTTCACTGCAGTATTGGTTGAAACTCACTCCTTCATTGCTAACACCCATAAATTGCAACATTCCTTAAGACAGGAAGCATTCACTGTGTCTGCACACCTTAGAAATATTTTTTTCTTTAACCATCAGACAACTTGGTTTTAAAACTGTCTCTTCAAAAGAAAAATATGCTACAGCATATAACCTAATTGTCTAATTAAATAGCAAAGTGCCTTCTACAGCCTTACCTTTCTCAAGACCTTGAGATCAACAGCCTGTCATCAAAGTAGAAAGCCCTGACAACAGTACTCCTAGAAGTTATTTTCAAATATGTAACAACTTTGTTTCCCCATATGCAGTAAACAACCCAGTGCAAATGAAGATATAAAATAACAGCAGTCAAAAGATTGTAATATCTTGCTGCACTTGGCATAACCAATGATAGTAAGCAGTCCATCAGTAGTAGATGAATTCTAAACAAAAAAGTTACAAACAATATTCCAAATATTTTTTTAAAAGTAAGGACATACATATTGCTAGCTCTGCAAAATGCAAATTATACCAATATAGCAAAGCTAAAAAACAACAGAAAATTGAGTTTAACTTCCATACAAGTGTTATCACAGTAACCTTCTTCAAAACTATGTAGCATTTTTCCTGCATGTCAAAGCTGATGAATTAGTTTAAGAAATATCTCCTTCATATTAGCATCCATCATATGGTAGCAGCAATAAGGTTCCACAAAGCATTCTACTCCTTAGGAACAGATGAAAATTCAGAAAGGAGGAATTAAGCTTTCTGAGTATCTCAAATTATGACAGTGCCAAACTAACCACCACCATTTCCATTAAAGTTTTCCTCGTCTTAAGAGATTTAAGCTTAACCAAAAAAATGAGCTGCTGGTTTTAACATGGTGTGCAAGAATAAATCTGTTGTGTTACGTTCACTAACCAAACTGAGAAAATGTATTCTTTTTTTGAATCATGATTTATAAGCAAAATCTACTTCTGTATGTTTTTGTAAGTAAGGGCTATCATACATCAATTCTTAATGAAATTTATATTTCTTAACAATAAGTACTCCTTTTACTCAAACTCCTCTAGTCTGAACTCGTGTTAAGCAATATAAATGCATACACACCAGTCCATCTGTTGGCTGCCTCCTTGGCTACTTTGTTTGTTTGTCCTGAAAGAGAGAAAAAAATCAAACAAAATAAGCATACAGCAGAGGAAAATCATACTATAGTTTCAAGGCACAGATTTCATTATTTTATTGATGTCATTTTTAGGGAACCAACTCTAGAAGGAAGTTATTCTACTGCTTCCAAACCCTGCTTCTGCTTTACGCTTTTAAGGTTCCAACATGCACAAAACTAAGTTAAAGAAAAACAGGAGCAAAGAAACATAAAAGATAACATATGAACAACTTTGAGGTTTTGAAGTGTATTTTAAAATAAAATAATCCTGGTTTGGTTTGCCTGAGGGCTTAATTGTCTGTACCAAGACTGGAACTAGATACACGGCCTGAAGATACCAGAGGCAACTGAAATGGAAAATATTTTATAATCCTCTCCATACATAAGTAATCCATCACACAGGTATGCATGACTCTATACAGATAACAAAATGACAAGGGTAACAGTCTGTCACATTAATCCAGAAGTTTATCACCTAGTTCTGGAAGGTCTCCCGGGCTTTGAGAACCCCCCTCCATGAAATGAAGACAAAATAATGCTCCTGGTTATTAAACTTGGCTTCCCTCCCTTACCATCACTCCAGATCTAAATATATGAGTAAATTGCCATTACTACAAATAGCTTTTATATAGTTTCCATGAGGCAAAACAGTATCAAGAAAAATTCCTCTTAGATCACCTTGCTCCCATTAAAGTAAGTACTGAATCAAATCAAGCAGGTTGGTTTGTAACGTGGGAATTTATCAGAATCATCATGGTTCTCACGCCTACACATAACATAGTTATTCCCAGTTAGTCTTGTTAGTACTTGCACGATAATACGTATTTGAATGGTCAGCATGAAATTTGTCTCCAGGGGTACTGAGAAGTGAATATATGATCAGGTATCCATTGTTGTAAAGATTATACTTCAGGCAAAATTAAATTACATTGACAAATCAGCTGCTGGCACAAAGGAAGGTAAGCACTTATTATTCTACCTTTAATACTTCAGTAAGTGATGTGAAAAATGTTTAAATCAGAGTAAAATACCATTTCAAAACCAGTGCAGTTTCTAAAAATGGCCTACAATTAGAAAGCTTGGGCACAGCATGAAGAAAAACAAAAAAGAAAGTTGGGGAAAAAAAAAGAGTGGGTGAGAAGATGGCATTTTTGCTTGCTTGCATGCATCAGAAATTCGAGTTATTCCTAGCTTGAGAGAGATATTCCTTATTTTCTGACTTCTTGTTGCCACCCCCGCTTGTTCAGTTCCTTGACTGGCAGCACTGACAACACACCAGCAGCCAATGACATTTTGAACAATACCTAACGCTACATAAAGCAACTCTGCAGAGTAAGGGCTTTCACTGGTCAAGATTTTAAATGTGTTAGCTATGATACTTCCCTCAGCTTTTTTTCTGAAACTCTAGAATAAAACTGAAAAGCCGTATTTGACTCCAAGTGACCAAGTTAGAAATGAAGGCGGGGGGGGGGAAGTAGGATGATACTAAACTCTGTGGATCCAGAACTGGAAGGTGACAGCATCCTGATGGCGGGGCAGCCAGCCTACTCCGCAGCACATGCTAGGTCTCAGCAGAAACTTCTGCTTGGCTGGAAGCAGCTAACCAGCTGAGCACTGTGCTTCTGCATCACACAGCAGCTCTAAGTTCCTGCAGCTTTCAGCACGCAGCCCTGTGCTTAAAGCACAGTGATCATATGGTACAGTGCATTAAAAAAACCACCAATAGTGGCAGTGTGGTCTATTGTCCCCCTTCAAATATTGCTTATGCATGTTAAAATGCACACATGTGATCACGTGTTTTTTAAAATGTGACTTCTTACCTCTGGCAAAGCAAAGGCTGAGGTGACCGACAGATACAGGTTGGGCAACAGGGTCGTTAGAATGGCAGTGGCTGCCTATAACTGAGCTGTGGCCAGAAATGAAATCATGGTAGTAAGAGCAGGAAGCTGTAACAGGGAAATCCCAAAGTGGACAGCACCTTTAATTGCTTAAATAGCAGAGAAACAACAAAACAAAAAAATCCAACAAAAGAAACTCCTGAGGGTAAAAGTTATACAAATAAAATGAAGAAATATCTTAACCATGTCATTCTTTCCATGCACCACCTGGCACTGATCACAGACTGGCAGTGAAGTGTCATGGTAGAAGTGTGGAGGGATCACAACCAGAGGCAGAACCTCAGGATGGGGAAGGTGACGTTCAAACAATGTGGTTGAATATCAAAGAAGAGGCTGCCTCAGTCCTTCAGGGGTGGGAACACACATCCCCCACATTACTCTGCTCCCAGAGCAGCTCAGGGTTGGGGAAACAGGAGCCGCTTGTAAAGCCTCAGGCACGTGATATCTCCAGGAAATGGATTCACAAGAGTCTGGGGCAAGTGCTGGCTGCTTGCGATTTCCCATTTACGCTGGCTGCCCACACACCCATGTACACGGTAGCACCATAGGGATGCAGGTATGGATTTATTCTGCCCTCTTGAAAGTTGCTTAGATCATCAGGCGTATTGTATCAACAGCAATGCCAGCTAGCTGGGCAACTTGCAAGGCACCCACGTGTTCCTCATGTCCAGCCTGAGCAAGCTCATGCAAACAAGACAGCTTGCACTGTCTCTTGTCATCAAGTGAGACTGTCACTGCCACTGCTGCAGAATGGCACTGCAGTCTGCCTAACCGTTAATTCCTTCACTTCAATTTCCCCCTCATATTTCTTTTTTTTTTTAATTTGGGGGGAGGGAAACACATCTCATCCATTCTCCAGAAACTACTGTGTCATTGCCTCAGCTGTTGCCTCGTGGCTATGGGCTGAGCATCTAGCTGTCTGAAGGCAAGATTAAAGTCCCTTGGGATCAGGCTCAAATTTTGCCTACAATTCCGCTGCAGGATCTTGTCTGCCTGCTGTATCCAACACCATGCCTGCAGGAGGAAGAAGAAACAGCTATTGGCAGTTATGGACCTGCATCACCTGAAGACACCAGCTACATCTGCATCATCACCAGCATCTTCCATAGCTCCCCAACGCCATCACAAGAACTGAGAGAAATAAATGAATCTGCATCTTGGAAATCTTTCATAGTTGCTTGTTGGAACTTTTATTGGTTGCGTCACCTATATGTGAACATGCATGGAGGGTGAGGGAAAGGAGGAGCAGTAAAACAGACATCCCCCAGACACACCTACTTTATGTACTGATGTAACTCAAAGTCATGCTACTTCTGATGGCCTATTCTTTAGCTCCACAGGATCACACAGCCATTGTCTTCCTGGTTTTTAGATTGCACTGAGACAGAAAGTTTAAGACCTAAAGAAGACAATAACATGAGAACTTAAAAACGCATACATCAAAGAAGAATCGGGACACAAATTGTGTGAACTGTAAAAAGGAGAAACGCAAAGGCAGTGCTCAGTGCAGCTGGCTAGTTGCCAAAACCACCACAACCATTGGGTCCCAAGCTCAGCTGGAGTCCTGCTGATCCTCCTGCTGACCACAGCTGCTCTATCAAAACTTGATTTTTGGCAGCTACTAAATAGTGCCCCAGTACGGAAGCTGTGCAAGATAACGAAAGGGCCAAATGTGCAGAAGAGATGAACAATACAGGAGGCAACATATGTTCCGGATGCTTCCAGATGTTCTCATTACCACTACTGGGCCCTAGTTACGCTCTACTTTGTATCTATACATCTGCACATAGGCTGACAATATATACAGTTGCTGTCTGGAGGCAACAGAATAATCCATTTGTTCTGGACGTTACATATTTATTTCACCAATTTGTGTGACAATGCATCAACAGACTTTCTTGCTCCCATGCCTGCAGGATTCAAGTCATTCACGTGGCTGAGGCACACACCTGTATCCTCCGCTGACCAGTTTCAGGCACGCTTGGCATTTTCTAAGCAGGAAAACGGAAGCTTGCATTTTCTTTCCTGAACTGAACAAAAGCAACCACTGTGTGTACAGCAATGCAGGCTCCAGGAGCAGCATGGCTTGCAACACTAGTCTGTTGCGTTAGCAACATACACCTGGAAATATGCCCTGAACAGTGACAGACTAAGGGTCAAAGAGTTAGTTTTGACCAGTCCTCATGGCAGTCTCTTCTTCCCTCAACCCCAGGTACCTCCGGAGAACTGCAGGGAACTCAAAAAGCTCAGATTCTGGGAACTGAACCATTGTCCTAAGCATCTGTGATTGTCCTTATCACAAGGTCAATCCCCTGTATCCCCTTAGAGGAAAGCAAAGGTAGTGAAAGGAAGGCCCAGCAGCAGCGAATGTCTAAAATGAAAGGGAAGGAGAGTTGGAAACATGCTTTTTAATGCAGGCAAGTGACATTCTACCAAAGACCTGCAGGGATTCAGGAGCAGACCAGGAGACAAAGCTGACAAAAGGGCACGTGGACAGCTGTAGAAGGTGCAGTTAAGAAGCCTTCTAAAGCAAATGGACAGCATCTGGTCAGGAGTGAAGGCCAGCAGCACAAAAACATTCAGGCAGAACTGTTTCTGAACAAATCTGAACTGGCGATATATATATGGGCCCAAACCTTAGCATGGTCAGGCCACATTGTTTCTGATCTGACTTAGGAAGCCCTACAGTCATTCTCAGCATACTGCAGAACTACAGCCTCCTCTTTCCTCTTTTCTTTCCTCCTTCCCTCAGATTCGCTCACTTTTTTCCTGGAAGGGGTGGTGGTGGGTATTAGAAGTCCTATTTTGCATTCCAAATGGAATGGCCAAAAACTGTTGAAGCCTCAAATATTTCCACAGAAGGACAATACCACTACACGCCTCATCAACACGATATATATGCTCCAGGAGACTAAGTTAGTCTTTCTATCAGGCTTCAGACACTTCCACGGGTGAAAAACAATTATGATAGCAACAACCACCACCATCTCCTCACAAACATTTTCCAAACCTACTTTCAGGTTCTTCAAAAAAACTTTTTAAAATCCTGCACATATCATTAAAGGAAGCAGTCACTGAATAGTATTCAAAAT